TAAGCATATTGAAGGAAAACAAAAAATGATCAGTTTTATTTTAAATAAATTATTTGTATTACACTATGTAATAATTACAAATTAAACACTAAACACAAATAACTACTTATTCTAATAATTTTTAAATAATTAGTAGTAATTATTATTTTGATTATTATTATTGTGCTTTAAATTTTTTTGTCGACTACCAGGAAGAGGAAACCAACTTGTTTCCGCTTTATTTTACCAATCATACAGAATCATAAAACTGATCATAATCCAATTAAAAAAAATAGTTTAGTTATCAAATTTCTTCATGTTTTTGGAAATTTATAAATTGAAGCGATTTGTAGGTAATCTTTATGCACTTAAAACTGCTTGCATACATAACTCTTTGACATTACAACATTGACCCATTGCTCAAAGCATGGGTGTGGGCCATTCTACTTACACTCCAACGTTTTTAAAAAAACACCGATGTGACTACCAAATCAATATTCAATCGATATCGCTTTATGTCACTACAGCCGGTCTGTTATATAACTGAGAAACTTTTTTCCTAAATATATTTACATTTTTAATCATGCTACTATTTGTAAAACTGCAAGTGACTTGAGAATTTTGTCATTTATTTATTATATTTTAAGCCGATTTGGTATTATAATTTCAGTGTATCAATAACATGGAAAAGGTCACCGAAACAATAAATGATACATATTTTAAAACCGGTTTCATAATATAAAGCCGTTCAAACCTAAAAACCGAAAAAGATAGATTATAATTGTAAAGGTCACAACTCGATGAAATTCGCTAAAAATGAAAGCGAAATAAAGGATAAGAATGTTGATGGCAAGAATGGTAACTTGGTCTCTTCCGCAGTTATTAATATTTACAACAATTTCAAGGTCTGCGTTATTTAGGTCTTCTTTATGGCCACTAGAGACTTAAGAATTGCCACAAGAGGGGAAATTGCAAAACTAAAGTCGATTACTATCTGTTGCTCACTGATAAAAATATAATAGTTGCAGGCAAGTATAATTTATAGATGAAGAAATCATGGCTAAATATCAACGGAATATAATGCATATTATTACTATGGCATGGAATTTATATTAAAAAAATTGTCAAAATCAAAATTCACAACACTTATAACCTGACTGGGTCTTGTGTCGAGTAACCTGATCTGAATAATGGAGCAAAGAAAGCGAAAGTTACCGTTAACATGAAAAACGTTATTGTTACACTTCTTTAATTTTAAACAATTTTATGTCACAACAAAAATTATTTGATTGTTAACTGATAAAATCGCCAAATGACGAGACAAAACTGGACGACTTTTAAAAGCTGAATCCGTTTTAAAAACTCAAGGATAACAAAACTTTCCACAAAGATTCATATTATCGAATTTTAACTGTTTCAGTATGTTTTCAATTCGTTTATCTCTATTCCAAAGAATCCAAGGTTGTTTTCTAAAAGTTTGACACTATTTAATTGTTTTGAGCAATTTTTGGGTTTAGTTTTATGTAATTTGTCGGTCGAATTGGCAATTTCTCAATATCCACATATTTCAGTGACCACTACTTTTACCCAGGAATTTAAACTTGAAATTCTGATTTACCTAGGTTTCAGGAGGAATTGAAGATTTTTTCAGTAACTGCACCCAAAATTGTGACTAAGATTGCAAAAAATGCCACAATGACAGTCAAGATTACAATGACTGTGTTAAGGAATGCTCAAGGCCTTCCGACTCCACCCAATTTGAGAAATATAGGATAAAAGACATTTACATTGAGAATTCTTTTCTGCTAAAGACACGGGTAATTACACAATTATTTCATACTTTCGTTTATCACAAATGTTTATTTTATCCTTACAAAAAATAGACTTAAATTACTTGGTTTACAAAGTACTGCCTGTAAAATTACAAATAAAAATAAGACTAGTTTGTTCGCTTAACAGTTTAAATAAAACAATTATCTTCTATAGTTGACGGTGTAGGACCCGCTATTTAGGTCCACATTAGTGGCGGGGTGTCCTTGGAAAGGGTGGTAATTGGGGTACGCAGGTGGTGCAGGATTGTAATAATTCGGTTGCCTCGGGAAGTTGTTGAAGCTGGTTTGGGGCCTAAAAGAGGGTTGGTAGGTGGGCTGGTAAGCTGGTTGAGGTCTATAGGCAGTGGGAGGTCTGTAAGCAGGTCGGGGGTTGTACCCAGGTTGTGGTTCAAAAGGAGGTTGTCTGTAAATCGACTGGGGATACCTTGGTTGGGTTTGCGCGTAAGGCTCGTTCTTATAGTAGACACTAGGGTCCTCTCTGTATTGGCCATCATCTTCCTCGTTGGAACCTAGGGGTTTGGCGTAGTCGTTGTTGATTTTCAAGGTGGGTGGAGGCACTTGGATCTCGTTACCAGCTGGTTCGAAACCTCTCCTACTAGCGCCGTATTCGACAGTTCGGAGTTTGCCTTGGTCGTCGACGTAGCCATATTTACCGAAAACTTGCCCATCTGGGTATTTGGTTTCTATCTTGTAGGTGCCATCAGCGGCTTCGTAACCGTAACTGTATGAACCGTCTTCGTTGTGTTTGTTGATTTGTTTGAGGATGGGGACTGGGGTGGTGTATTGTTGGGCTGAGGCGACGGTAAATGCCGCGGCAGCTAATAGCTGTAAAAATAATTATTAGTCACTGAGAAAAAATTATTTTGTTATTGATTAGCTACAAGTGGAGGCTGGTACGAGTGGAAAATCAAGGTTACAACCTATAAACTTTGCAAGAAAATGATAAAAAATGTGTGATTTTGATTACTTTTTTAATAGGGTAAATTCGGAAGAGATGGACCAGCCATCAGTTTTTAGGCAAAAACTTGATCGAAATTTTTAGTATTTTGCTTATACAATTGTTTAAGCTTATTATTTATACGCAAACATACTAACATTATGTATAATAAAAATTATAACTTAAAAACATTTTTCTGTTTAACCTTGTAATTTAGTAATTTATCTCTTCTCCTCGCATAGGAAATAAATTGACCACCTCTATTAAAGATAGTTTTTGTGTGTTTTTAGTGAAAGCTTGCTTACAATTTATATTTGCGTTAAATAAAAAGGAATAGACTGTAAAAAATTAGAAAAACAATAAATGCAGTAAATATTAAAAAAATACTAATGAACGAAGTTACTTCAACATTTATCATACCAAAATCAACACTTAAAAATTTAAATTGTTTAGAATTATTAAAATTCTTTTTGAATTTGTTGGAACTAGTGCAATTATTTGTGAATGACTGGAAATATTTGTAGATTACCAGAATTTTTCTAGTATTACACTGTAATGTTTTTTGGAATTATCAGAGATAATTAAACAAAAGACGTTAAATTTCTTAGAACAATCGGAATTAATTTGGAATTACAAAAATTAAGATAGAATTATAAGAATAGATTTGGAATTATAAAAATTAATTTGATAATAATTAATTACGTAATTACGATGGAGTATTGAAATTACCGAAATTTTGGTAAAATGTTTTAGGAATTATTAAAACTTCGATGATTTTTTTTGGAATTACAGCATCATTTAATTTTCTATCGTTTACAATATTAATTTTTTTTTAATCAATTACAAATATTTATTTTTGCGCCGGTCCTAAAACATGAATAGATTCAGATTTATGTCAATAATATAAAAAGGATTGTTTAGAGAAAAATAATAATTAGAAGCATTTGTGGTTTAAATTAGAATAAGAATCATGCAATCATGATTTGACAGCAGGTTTTTCAAAATGTGGTTTATCTCTCCCGGACTTACCCTACACGAAATTAGTTTGAACTGTTAGAAACCTTTTTCCAAATTTTCTAAATTTAAAAAGATAATTTATGCAAATAGACATTAAAGTCTACAAATGAGAAGATTTTATCAAAGTGAATACATTTTTCCAGAATTTTTGCTAAGAAGCATTTTATTGTGGATCGTCGTTTAAGAAAAAGCAACTTTTAGTCAGAACCGTATTACTGGTTGCCGATTTTAATGACATTTACATTCAAAGCTTTATTTACTGTTACTATCGAACACTTTCGCTGAAAGTATGAGCATTATACCTTTTCAAGGATAATTCAGCAAATTTTTAAATAACAATGATTTATTGTTAAAATTGTTGCAGCAATTTCGTGTAATGCTGTTTCGTTGAAAGAAAATAAAATAAAATATAAAAAATAAGAATTTTATTAGTATAAAAGTTGAAACAAGTGTTTTAATTTATAAATAATAATGCAATTTGTATAAAAAATATTTTATACAAGAACTACAAAGGTAATTGTTTTTTACGTTATTTGTTTCAATGTAAATTTTGGAATGAAACACTAAAAAAAATAAATTTGTTTAGTTTATTTTTAACAAATTACAAAATTTACAAATTTGTAAACAATCAGTCAATAACTTTGCATTTGAAGCAAGTGTCTAAAATTGAATATAAAATAAAAAAATTTCGTCACAAAAAGGACTAATACAGTTTTGACAAAAGTAAACTACGTCTTATTAAAAAAATGTAAATATTCTTATACGTATATCTTGACAAAAATATTGTTTACACAGACAAACTTTTACTTGTAATTGATAATTTATTACAAAACGCAAAAATTTATTGTGATAAATTAAGTACTTTCTTCAAAAACAGTTCTTTATTGTCTTTTTATTAATAAAAAAATGTTTATAATTTAGCAATTAATATATTATGTAAAAATAAATGTTTAATGAAAAATTTCGTACTGTTCCAATAAATAAATAATATAGTAATTCATTTATTCGTTAATGAAAAATTAATAATTTAGACCACTATTGTGTTCGTGGTGCCCATAATGTAGCCCATTTTGTATCTTTTAACAAAATTTAAAATTTGAAAAAATATAAATTGTGATTGGTTATGGCAATAAGAACAAGTAACTAAAAATCCTATTAAAAACATACTAAAAAGCTCCAAAAATAAGCTTGCCACTAATCTTATTCCAACATTTTTAAATGCATTTATTTTTACTCATGTCCTTCATTAAAAATGATTGTATGTAAATTTAAAATATTTATAGGTACATGCAACAAAATGTTGGCAATTGTTTTGTTTTCAAACACATATTTGAGAAAAACTTTGAAATCAAGGTCAAAAGAAAACAAGAGTCTTCTACAGTATGTCTGAGTTTGAGTTTATAAGAGGAATTTTTGTTATTTTTCATTTTTCGCCAAAACTGCAAAAGAAAAACATTTTTTGCTTCACCTGAAACAAGCAAATCTGTACTTAAAACTTTATTGTTCTGATTCAGTGAAAAGAAAAGTAATTTTTTCTCTTGATTTTCGACTTTGAATAATTTATCTCATATTTTTAAGTCCTATCACATTCGCGGTTTAATTTATTTGACAACTATATTTCACTTAATTAATTTATTAATTAAATGATGATTCTTGTTAAAAATGACTTTGGTTTTTAAAGCTGTTTCTTTCAGTTCCTATTTATTAAAATTATGTTTTTCACAAATATTTTTGTTATTTAACACATTTGTCAAAGTGACATCATTGTCAAAATAATAAAACCGCCAATGTGATAGCACTTAAAAAGCAGAGAAAAATTATTCCAAAATCAAGAGAAAATGAACTTTTCTGTCTACTGAGTTAGATTAATAAAGTTTTTCAACCAAAAAAAGGTCGAATTCAACAAATAATTATTTTGCACGGAACAATTTGTACAAAATTATAATGAAAGTGAATGGAATTTGACCTAACATTACTCACACCTACATATCTGTATCCATTTGCGATTAATTACTGTAAGCGACACTTAAACAAAATTTGATTTCAAAAAGGTTGGTAAAATAAGTAGGTACATTATTTTTTAAGTTTGAAACAATTTTGAAATATTTTATAACAATCAATTAATAAATGCCGACATGAAAAATATTACAAAAAGTTTATCCTTGAAAGTATAAATTAACATTTTAATAAAAGTCGGCGACAGTGTTCTAGAACCCTTTTTCAGCAATATTTTGTGCAATCTAAAACAACATTAATTTTATTTATTAATATTCTAACGGTCGTAGTGCAAACCTATCCGGCTGAAATCTATCAGATTACATAACATTAGCATTAAAATGCCACGAAATGTTATAAAAACGTCAGAATAAACAAAACAAATAAAAATATACTCACATAAAATCTCATATTAACGGACACTGATAATGTGAATACAAAGAGGTAAACAGCCGCACCTTTAATAATCCAGAGCTTATATAGACTACGTCCCCACAAGACTTTAACGCAAGGTTACGATACAAACCTCTGCGATTTAGCAGATAGCAGATTCATATACCTCATTTTCCGCCTCTACCACCACCGGAATGGGGCACAGATATGGTAATGTGCACGTTTATTGTATTTTATATTGTATCATTAATACTGTGTGGTTCATTAACAAGATTTTTAATCACTTCCTAACTGATGGGAGGATCATTTTTAATTTTAGTTCTCCGGATTTGGCGACAATGCTATAAAAATAAGTGGTTGGATGCCCTTACAGAAGCGGCGTGATACATACAAAATAAACATAATTTCAATTAGTTTTTTTATGTTAAACATAAAAATAAATCAGCTAATATTATGGTTCGTAATGAGTTATTTGCAGAATGCAGAAAATGCTTTGTGTTATAAAAAAATCCTATAATGTCATTACGCCCAATAATTGTCTACTTTATGAATATACATTGCTTTGTTGTTATTTTAAATTTTTCTTTTGCTATGAATCATGGAAGAAATTTCTTGAAATTGGTCATTTTTTTAGCAATTAAAAAACTTGTCAGTGCGAGTAATTATTTTAATAATTTAAACTGAGTAAAAAGCCCCAGGATCGCTTCCGATGTCGTCATTGATACTAAATTACCAAGTTTATGCATAAATTCTCTATTTGTGCTAAATAACTTTGCAAAGAACGTCCCAAACATTTTCTAGATTAATTTGTATGCATTGATCAAAACCTTCGTTTTCACACCCAGTCGAGGATTCATATTTTACACATGTGTTTGATGTCCTCGTGAGCTACGCAATATCCGGCAACTTTCTTTTGTTCCTAGGAAATATAAGGAAATGATACACTTTGTAAACATTAAAATATTTATCAGCGTAATTTCGGTTAAGTGTAGTAAAACACACCTGAAATGCAAAAGTAAAGTAAACAAATCTTTTTTCTAAATATAATATTAAAAACAATATTTTATAAAAATAGTAGCATAAAATTCAATTTAGGTCAAAATGAAGCAATTTGTACTATTTCCAATCGGTTTAGCTTGATTTTAAACCAGAACTCAAACTAAATTAAACTAAATAACAGTTTTATTAAAAATAAAGCAATTTGAGTTATTTCCAATCCAATTTTGTTCGATTTTAATACAGAACTTATTGTAAATTAATGTATTTTAAAAAATAATTGCTTAAAATCTAATTTTAGGCAAAACAATGCAATTTGTGCTATTTTCAACAAATTTGGCTCAATTTTAAGCCGGAAATCAATCTGAATAAAACGATTTTAACAAAATAATAGCTTAAATAACAGTTTTTTGTACTTATACTTACTTATAAAAGTTATTCAGTCTTCAACTGTAGAAAAAATTAAATAATAATACATAATAAAAAGAAGAAAAAATATTACTGACATTAATTAAGATTAGAAAAAGTATAGTATTAAACTCGTGAAAAATGGCCATTTTCACTCAGATGAATGTTACTCCACTCGCCTTCGGCGCGTATTGTAATTTCATCTGTGTGAAAATGGACAACTTTCCCACTTGTTAAATAATATACTATTTCCAACACTAATAATATTTTATACTGTTTCTGTGATGCATTAAGCTTACCTCTTATGTTGCAATTGGCATTTAGACAATTTTGACATTATTTTGACAAATTTCTTTAAACCAATTTCTGAATTTAGCAAAATTTTTTATCTAATATAAATGTAAGAAAATTTTTTGAAAAATATACAAGTTTTATAGTTTAAAACTCCCGTTGTCTTAATAGCTAAAAAAAGTAACTGCTAAGGTATCCACGTAATTCGAGTATTTTACTATTTATTAAATTTTAAATGACACGAAATGAGACTTTAATAAATAGAGAATTAGTAAAAGAAAGTTAACTAAAATGGTCAATAAATCAATAAAAAAGATCAAAAAATTTTGTCGAATTTTATATTTCAGTTTTAACGCACACGTTTTTATCTACAGAGTGTTACAAAAAGATGAATAACCTGAAATTCCACAAGTCAAAATAAAGCGATTTAACCCAACTCTATACCAGGTTAGAGAATGCCAAGGTTTATAAATTATTTTTGATTTTCTTTGGTAACTTTTTAATGGAGTAATCGATTTTTATGATATTTAGTACAGATTATTTGCCATCACAATCACATGTTTTAGTGCTATTTTTAGTTTTGTTATTATTATTATAAAGTACGTACCTATTTATTAACAATTTAACACATTTTAAGCCATATTTTTGTTATACAATACCCGAGCAGAGTAGTTATTTTTCATTATTCAAATGGTTCATTATTTTAAAACAATTTTTGTATCTTATAAAATTTTTGAATTGGCTTTGGTTTTAGTCTAAAAAAATAATTTAAGTAGACGTGTCAAAATTTCAAACGTTCGGTATTTATTATTTTTGTTTATGAAATTGTATTAATAGTATGTTATGTTATTGAAAGTAAAAGTGCCACACGCAGTGAGGCAAATAATTCAGATAAGCCATTTTACCCGCAAACCTATTTAGATCAAAGGTAAAGAGCAATACAACAATTAGCAAGTAAATGAACAAAATAATTAGAACGCTTTACATTGAAATCTTAACAAACGTCGTGGGTCATTTTCGGAATTTGTGTCGAAATTTTCGAAAAAAGTGTTTATTAATTTAACAAGTAAATGACTAGTGCAGTCAGTAGTGCAAAATGTCGAATCCGAAAAAGACAAGAAAGGATTGGTAAATGTCATAGTAAAAGTAAAAACACTTTGGCAAAAAAACTGAGACTTTTTATTTCAAATAATAATTAATAATTTTAAAAAAATATATAAAAATTAAAATTAAACGAATTTATTATCATATCTTTACACTTACAAATAGCAATTTTTATTACTAAAAAAAAGAGGTTTTACAAGAAACTTTTGAATAGTCTTCTATTTTCCTGAATACACAACTGATTTTTAAACATGGTCTTTGTTGAATTTTTTTTATAGTAAATTATTTATAGTAAACGTTTTATGTCAATTCATGAGATATAGACTCAAGCCGTTAGCTTTCAACTTTATTCTCAAGCTAAGTACCCCCTACACAAAATTCCTAAATACGCCACTGTCTATGTCGAATATCTTAATGATAAATGCATTACTTTTAATATTTCAAAGTTCAGTTTTTGAAGGAAGTGCTCATTCCAGCCCGATTACTCATTAAGGATTTTTATCAAGGTTTATAAAATTTGTCAACAAGGTCCCGCCTCTTTGCTTAGAAGAGCTTGGAGAAAATGTGTCTAATATTTCAACAATTTAACTCCCATCGTTGAGCAACTTCGTAAATTTCAAATCACAGATTAGCCGTTGAACCATAAAATCATGAACTTCTTTCAGACGCTCAAAGAAGTGTTTTATGGCATTTTGCATAGACATTATCGTAAATCGTGATTCATGTTATTAAATATGGCATTTCTTAATCAAAGAACAAACAAATGCAAATAAAGCCTGCAAGTTCCTGAATTTTCGTAAACCGCATGAAAAATCAACCTTTAACTGAAAATTGAAGGTAAGTGGAGTTATTAACATGAAAGTTATGGAATCAGGTGTACAGACAGGCGTGTCGACCTCGGAAGACGATACAATTCCGTCTGAAGTGTTTCAATATGGTTTATTTTCTTTTAAACACAGGAAGGATAAAGAGTGCCTGTAGGGCTACCACAGAAAATTAATTGGCGCATATTACCTTTAAATTATTCTAATTTGGGTGTGTTTTCCAATCCGGAAAATTTTAATTAAAATGGAAAACTACATTTGAAGGTAACACAAATTTTCTGTAGTACAGTCTCGTTGCTTTTAACCTTTTAGGCTGGAAGCTTTTTGTGTTCTGCAATTATCACGAGAGAGTTTTAAAGAGCAAGTAACAGGTTTCATCTGCGTAAAAATGTTTATTTCTTGTAATAAAATAAATCACTATCGATGAATGGAAGTCTGAAGCAAGAAAATAATAATTTCTAGTTTTTATTACAAATATTTTTTAATTTAATTTTTAAAACATTTTGATTATAATCAGATATAACATTTATTTAGTTTTTTTGGTCTGTTTTTTACAAAAATATAGTCTAATTTCTTTTAGTGCATATTTTTACTTTTAAATAAATTCTTATGACTTCCTCAGGCTAAAATTATAATTAAACAACAATTTTGTTTTTATAATACATAACTGACATTTTTTAAAGATATGTAATTAAACAATTAATTAACGAATTTAATAAGTAATTCGATTAATTAAGTGTTGGTTACTTCAAAACTTTAAATTTTAACATATGCAACTCTTTATACGCAAAAGTATTGAATATACTCTGGCTTGTTCTAAAAACTAACTAAAACAAATAGGTTGGTATCACTTTGTAACTGTTTTGTATACATGTATAATTATTTATAACATAATATACGCATTTCTGAGAAATTACGCGTTGCCTCAGGTAAAATTAAATGAGTTACGCAGTAGTAACATCAGAATCAATCATTATAAAAGTATTTTTAAATAATTTACAATCTCATTAAAATATTTTCTATTAATTAATTCATTGAGTAATGTGCAGTGATTCGCACTTAACTTCTGCCTTGGGTATTATTAAACTAGCCGTACATTTATTATTACAGTTTTATTATATCAGTTTACAGTGAGTGTGTAATAATAAATAAAAATACTAAACAACAGCGTTGATTCATACATTTTTCAAACTTTGCAAAAAGCTTGAAGTAATTATTCAAGTGATATCACGAAAATAAGCTTACAAGATAATTTATGAACGCTTTTCAGGACATAAATTACATTAATTACCACACCATCAGCAAAACTTTGCAATAAGTTGACAAGTGTCGTTTTTCAAGATCAAGATCACAACCTGATGTGGTTAACATTTCACTCCTTTGTTAGGTCATGAATTATTCAAATCGCAAAAAGAAACATCTTGTTTCAAACCACTAATTTGTGACAATAAATCAAAATTAATATAAACTTAGTGGTGTCTGTTGAAACCAAAAAAACTCAAGACGAAA